GCGGTCACCACCCTGCCGTAAGCGAAAATTACGCAATTTGTTGTTCCACATAGACGGTCATACAGGCGGTTACGAACTAATTGACGACGTAGAGTACCCGGTGGTGTTTCAACCATCGCTATCGATTCCTCTAGATCTGCCCTTCTTAAGCATCGCTTTATCGCAACACTTATTTCATTGCTAATGAAGAGTAAAATAAACGTGATTTTGCTTCGACCAAACCTTTCGTTTTGGGGCGTCGCTTGCTTTCTAAAATTATCTAGGGAGTTACTCTTCTGTAGCCATTGGGGATGGCCATTTCCGGAGCCATGTTGCACGATTTTTCCTTCAGTTCCCTAATTGTGCACACATGTTTCTCACAAGCGCCCTCTTTGGGTGTGAAGTGTGGGAAGAAAGGAAATGAACGAGGATGTTCATGATACTTGGCTTCCGGTACCACTTTGTCATGTAACCGCTACTTGATAGGTTTATTTGGACGTTTAAGACCGAAGCCAGTTTTTTCTCGGTTTCCCCCGGGTGAACTTAATGTACTCAGACTGCTCGTTCAATAAATCGAAGCATTTGTCCATCAACTCCTTCGTAGAGAAGACTACAAAACAATAATCTATGTACCTGCAGAAGGGTAGAGGCCAGAGATCGGGAACGAGGTCACCACTCTAGACAAAAAACACAATGACAAGGCTTGGTGCCAGTCGCTGCCGTATTGCCAGCCCCTTATGTGCGCGTAGTATTTCCTAGACCACCTGAAAATCGAGCATTTTAGGCACTTTTTTAAAGAGCCAAAAGCAGCTGGACGGACCAGCCATTTATGAGGATTTGGTTTGTAAAATACATAAAACTACCAAAAAGAACTCTTGCACTCATACCTTTTTCAATAGAGCCGATTTGAACTGCCGAAACTCATTATCTGCCGCAGAAGATGGAGAACTTGGAAGAGTTCTTTCAAAAGTCTAACAAGTTTTCTTGCGATTGATAAATCTTGCATACACTAATTCTTGACAGGATTCCAAAAACCGGTACACAATGATTTTAAAGATATTATTCCAAAGTATTGCACTCTGACGCCCAGATGGAACAGTTACAGCGTCCAGAAAGGCAATAGAGAAAATCATTCACGAATACTACTCAGATCCCCTCCCTAGCCACGGCCACCTCTCGTCACATGAAATAAAGAAGGATGGATATGTTGTACTGCCGATTCTCCATTCCGAAACACGACATGCCGCTTTGTCGGTGAAAAATCAAACAGCGCCAAGTCCGGACAAGATAAGATCTGAACACCTGAAGAACCTTTCGCCAGTCCTCGTAAACACGGTCGCCCAGCTCTTCACAGGTTGTCTATCTGAATTCAAGGCTCCTACTCAATGGAGGACCAATAAGTCTAGGTTAATGTTCAAGAAGAGTGACCTGCAAGACATCAGGATGAAAAATCACTCAGCGTTATCAAACGCGCAGTTGAAATGGCGATGCTAGGAGTATGCCGCATCGCACAAGTAATGGATGGGATCCAAAGCTCTGATCTGCGTCAACGTCAAAAATCAAAGATGCCGTTCTGTATGCCGAACAGTCGAAGATAAGGTGGGCCGGACACGTAATGCGTGTGAATGACAACAGATGGACAAGAGCCGTTAGGGACTGGATTCTCGGGATGTCAAACGAACTGCAAAACGACCACCGAGTTGATGGCCAGAGTTCTTCACGAAAAGCATAGAATTAAAATATGATGCACGACGAGTCCCTAGAGCGAGCAGAACCCACTGGGCTACTGTTGCACGCGACAGGGAAACATAGAGGATTTGCTGGCGCCCGCGCGAGTCACTCGACAATCAGTGGGGCTACGGATGGTACAGGTGATTTTAAAGTCGCGCCACTGTTCATAATTTTAAATATTAGTCGAGCTTTAAAGAAAGTAGTCCACGATGGATTTTGAACTTCGATGATGCTATGGTCCGAAATGAATGACGCTTTTAAACGAGACGAACACTCGACCTTAAATCAGGAACAAACTTCCCTGGGCTGATTTTATATATGGTTGGCATACCAATTAGATTAAAGCGATTCCTTTTGCATCCCCAACAGACCGAGGGCTATGTCTGCACAAAAATTTTTCCAAGGCTGACCAAAATTCATGAAAACAGAGCAAAATGTCTAGAAAACAATGAAGCAATTAACACTGTTCCATTTGTGAATAAATTCTTGTAGGTCAGTAAGCCGATGAAAGTATAAAAAGTGTAAAGAAAGTACTTCTTGAAGAAGTTGTCTTTTATCGTTCACAAAGAAGAATAACTTAACGATGATGCCGTGTACACCAGTTCCTCATAATTATATGAACAGATCCCGCCCTCAAAGGAAGATGAAAAATGTCACAGCTCGAATTCAGCGTTTTTTAAGAGCGAAGTTTGTTGAATTTACCGTAATACTTGCAAAAGCCCTTCTATTCATCTTATTCAAAATGAAATCCAACAGTTTCTGACAAGCTTTCGTCTAGAGCACCAGTCGATGTCCAACTCTTCAAGCTGTGCCATTTCATGCCTTCCAACACACAGTAGGGAGCTTTTAGGGATTTTGTTGTTTACTTTGCATAATTGACCGCTTTTCAAATATATGCGTATGCGGATTCAACCTGTGCACACAATTCTTTATTATGAAGAGGCAGGTGTGCTTTGTGGTGTGAATCCAATGCAAAGTGCACGTAGGAGTTTCTGGTCATATCAATAAAGTGTTACATAGCACTAATTCTAATCCGATGAAATGTCACAAGCTCTAGTGGTTGGTCGAATACCTTCGTTGTCTGTAGGAAAGTACTCTAACATATTTGGCTAGAAAGGCTGTCATCCATCGTAATCGTGCGATCAAGAAGTTGCTAATTTATAGAGAATCCGTGTCGGCTTCGATTGATGAAAAAAAANAAAAAAAAGGGAAAACGTTGCTGTTCCATTTCTGGACGACGAATGATCAGTAACAGTTGTAGTTTCGCATTGTGGGAACGAAACAATCTTTTTTGCTCCCTTAATGAAAGTATACATCCATATTTTCTGATCTTTTGTTTTTTTTGAAGAATCATACAAAAAATGGATAATAAAGGTGAGGATGACAAAATTCATATAGATCATTTGTTCGCGTAGCAGATGGCAGTCTGACAAATAGTGAAATCGAAATTGAACCCAGTTCATAAGGAACCCAAAAGTATCAAATCCCAATGGGCGAGAATCTGGTCGAATTACATAACTTGCATGCGTTAGTAACCCCACGTTGAGTTTAATGCTGTAAACTGTTGTGACTAAGAGTTCACCCGCAATGCACAGCTTTCCTTCTACCCCTGGTCGTCTAAAACTGTATGTTTCAAGATGATTAAGTCATTTAGGTGTTAAGACTGCTGTCTGCACATGAAAATCAACCTGGGAAACGGCTACACAAAGATATTCAGCTAACCAGTGCAAGAGAGGTGTAGGATACGATTTTATGCAAAATAAAACTGAAGACTCTCACAAAATTTAGTTTCTTCGAAAACGAATAAAACTGTACCGATATCTGAAATCGTTATATACTTTTCACCAAACTAAGCTAAAAGAAAGCCAACAATTGGAAGCCCCAAATATCCTTAAAGCCTTCACCGGGATGAAAGATTAATGGTGAAGAGAACTCTTCTCATAAATCCAAATGGGTTTTTCAACGCGGTGAGAAAATGTTTTCATCACAGGTTCCACTAGTGGAAGTTCTGTTGGAAAGCAGACACAAAATTTCATGAGGTGGAAAGAATGCATCTACTCGATTTGTTCGGATAGAAAACTTATTGTTTATTTAGTAGGAAATGAGAATTAATGAAAAACAATCAAAATCAATAAGTTTTTCATGGTGCACTGTTGATGTGCAAACAGTCACTGTCTCAAATTTGGATAAAAAGGCCTGAAAATACAGTGGATTATACCAATGAAACTGACACCGTTCTTGCTTCTAATTTTGGTATGTTCTAAACTTGTTAAAGGTATTTGCCTCCTACTTACTTACATAACTGAGGAGCTCGCTCTCAGGAAAAGTACGGTTTCTAGCACAAGTTCCATTGACTCGATTTCTTAGTCGCTGGGCAACTTTTTTCCTTCAATATTTTATCAGTGCCCAGGCGACACATTAAGAGATTCCTATTGTAAGGAGTTAGCGACTCTTAACAGTCGTAGGAAGGTTTCACGGCGTGTGTTTCATTAGGGTTAGCAGCGGCTTTCGACACTAGTTTGCTTTTGTCTGTGGTTTTAAATCCAACAAGATTCGACGAACTGCTAAACGACTAGGAAAACCATATTTTGTTTGTTTAAAAAACATTTATCATGACATGTATAATGCTTTCAGCTTCAAGCGCTCGTCGTCGCTGATGACGAAGGTGAGTTCCACTCAGATGATCCACCGAAAATACCTCAGTGTTAAAAATTTTCAGTGTGTTCGAGCAATGTCGAAGAAAATAAGCTGCGTAACACATATCTTAGTTATCATAACCAGGTACGAAAAGGTTTGGCAAAAGGCAAATACAAAGATTTGAGTGGACGCCGCCTTGGTCCGGCGAAGAACATCCACAAGCTGGTAAGCCTCTCGAACTCTTGATCGTGCGACTTGATTAGAAATACTTTTTTCAGTCATGGAGTTGTGATTTGGTGGAAGTAGCGAAAAAAATTGTAAAAGATTGCGGTTACGACTTTTCACAGTACCGATGGTATGGGCAGAACAGGGAGACGTGAGTGACCGCTGTGAAAACAATACTACCGTGAACTATTCATTACATAATAGAAAAACCGTACTAAGACTTTCCTTCTTCTGCTTTCAACTATGAAGAAAAAAAGTGCTACGAACAACACCATCTTTATAAATCGGTCTCAACGTGCTTGTTGAGAGTTTTCGAGCGAATTCGTTGTTTTAGAATTTTCTCACATCTCAGGAGTGTATTCTGGACAACCGTTGATAACGTTGCTGTTCCCCACAGTCGTCCTGAAATTTCAGATTCTATCTTGCATATGGAGAAACGAATTTTGATGTTAAAGCAAACATCAAGAAAGCACTCGAAAAATGGTGGAACCAAGCAAAGAACGCATATATTTACAAGGATAACAAATACCAAACGACAGTCCATGAATTTTCAAATGTGGGTGCTGCAATGCCGTTGAAAGTCGTTAGTAATCACCATCACCAGCGATTTTAAGATGTCTAACTTTTACTAAGGGCCAATTATTTAAAGAGCGGTCATACCGTAGAATACAATCGCTGGGATGTCGAGATATGAACAAAACTTAGAAGCGTCCGGGCATCCTTGTGATTTTCAGATGGCCCACTACAAAAACACCGAGCTCGGATGTGCTCACGCGATCTGCAAAGATTCCTATTCTTCTAAAATGCAAGTACTATGCGTCTACAGACGACTGTTAGTCACTTATTTTTATTTTTAACGTCTCGTTCTTTCGTTGTCGTTTGGTCGCACCATAATTGAGATTTAGTGGTTACATGGGCGACTCTATCATGTGGCGTGACGGAAAGTATTGTCGAACCAGCAACGACTGCACGATTTTTCCAAATTCGAAGTGTGAAGACGGACTATGCATCAAACCTAAACAGCAGCCAGGTGAGAAGACAGCAAGAAAGCACCTCTGGATCGGACCGAAACCGTGAATCTTTAAGAAAAGCGTAGAAGCATTAGTAAATACTTTCTATTACAAGTGCTCTGCCAGGTGATAGAATTTTTGTAATTTTCTCCTGCGTGCTGAATTTGACGGCCATTCCAGAGAATTTGCTAGAAGATTAATATAAATTTTTCTTTAGATAGCAACAAATCAGAAATGTGCGAAGGCAGCAGCGGAATGACAGATGCTGTGCGAAAGACTTTCTTGGACACGCACAATTTCTACAGGTTTACTTTAAGTTCAGAAGGAGCTTGATAGAAGTAAAAGCCTGACTCATCGTCAATGTTGTCTTAAGTTTAAATAATTCTGTCAGTTAGCCTTCATATAATCCTGAAAGGTTTATCGAAGATGGTTCTTCATGCAAGTATAATGTCAATGAATGGAGTACAGGGCCTAAAGAAAGAGTTGACCACGATTGGAAGTTTGTTCCAGGAGCATAGTGGCTACCGGTCGAGCCGCTGATAAGATTGATAAATGGGCACCAAAAGCGGCTGCAATGCCGAAACTGGTATGAATTTCGAATTACACTTGGTACTATGCGCAGTTTAAAACAAAACGCTTCAAATACACTGTGTCTTATCATGAGTGGCAAGACAAAGTGGACCGAATGCATAGTATCTTATGCATTCCTATTTGTAATTTTCGTACTCAGTCGGCGTCTTGTCCAACACAGATGTTATGTAATAGATTAAAACAACAACGTGTTTTAGTGGCAAATTACGGTAAAATATGGTTAGCGATGACGCATGCAGCTCAACATCGATAAAGCATACTCTTTTCAACGAGGTAGAGGTGCTCAGAACACCAAAAATCGTCCAACTTTTCAAAGTTTGCCGCTGTTTGTTGGGAAACCAGCCTCACTGTGTTTTAATCATACTAAGTTTTATGAAATAAGGCATGTCACCACGCGCCAGCCAAGAAAATTTTCAACGTGGATGCTTTGCGTTAGCTGCCACAAAACTCACAAAAGTGATTCTTTCTAATGGACTTTCATCCAGGAGTATAGCTGCGAACTTGAACAGTCGTCCACGTATCATGCGGGATTCTGTCAGTTCTCACATTCATCTGGTGATTACGGCGAAAACATCTACACTGTCTATACACCACGCTTTGAGAAGCGCGTTATAGCTGAGATGGTAAGTTGAGCTCTGCCATCTAACTGTAAGATTGTGGGAGAACAACTGTAGAAACGTCGAACAGCGTAAGATAACTGTAAATAAAGATTAGATTTGTTGATTGTGCCCATGTTAAGGCCACAGAAAGTTGGTTTGAAGAGCTAGAGGATTTCGGTGTTGGAAAAAATGTTATTCTCACACAGCAACTGTTTAACCGCTATCCAGGTCAAATTGGTCACTATACTCAGGTGAGAAACATGATAGGATTATCTGTAAGCTTTCATTTGCAATCCATTCAATTAGTGTACGAGGCGAGCGATTACCGATGAAATCTCTAATCATGTACTAGGGCTAATTAACGGTCTTTTCGGTTGAATACAGTATCGCACTTTTCGCTGGATGTTTTTAATGGTGCGTTTTTGATAAAAGAGTACGCAGCAATAGCTCACCGATTTTCGCCAAAGTGAGATATCAAACCTTTGGGGAACTTGTAGAGTTCCGGTTTTCCCGCAGTTTGTGTAGAGCTCGTTGACAGAGTGCGACCCGAAACGCGCCTCATTCAGGTTCGGGAAACAATTTGTATACAAGCAAACGTTTTACCTATCTATTCACACATATATTCGTGAGCTACGGGATGCAAAACTATATTCTAAGCAGCAGAATGGGCTTGCTTTCCTCTACACCTAATGCGCCTAAGGGCAAGTAGACGAGATCACTCAGTACATTAGCGGCCTACCTGCTTTCACCGTCGACTAATACGGTTTAAGATTCATCCCCTGACGAAAATCTATGGATATTAAGGTATTCAGATTTAAGCACAAAACAAGAAATTGTCGATGCTATGATTAACAATGAAGTGTGTCCGCCTTCAATGTCGTCTCACCTCCATACTTGATACTTGATACTTGAACGGCCCATCCTCAATAGTTGTGCGGGCTCTAGCATAATCACCATTTTTCGGAGATTTGCTGGCTAAGTCATTGTGGNCAGGTCGTCACCACAGCTGCCAGTCGCAGCCCTTGTGGATCAGAGGGAGATTTGCCACCATGCGACTTTGATACCAGGACGTTGGTCGATCCTGGTATTGGTTTACTCTTAGCTAGGCTTCATTTTGGAAACGCCGGACTCCTTCTCAGCTTGGGAGACCCTGCCGGGGGAACGAATTCCCCGGCTGTACATCGCAGTCCGATACCCAGGAACACCTCCCAGCCACGTTGAGGAGGCACGATGAGGAGGTAAACCGTTAGGAGGCTCACCTCTATAACTTGACAGTAATATTGAATTTCCGGGAATAAAATGGCACACAGGAGCATGCTGGCAGTTTCGTCATAGATTTATTGTTAGCAGAGAAATCTTCCACAATTTAGCAGATGACATAATGGTTTAGGACATAATTTAATGCAAAAATCGAGCTTATTAGTGTCGTTTAGTGCTTTAGAAACCATGGGAGTCAATATCGCAATGGAAATTGATGGAAACATAGAAAGGACCTTTTAAACTTTTACAAAACCAACATAATCTTATTCTAGAATCTTATGAATAAGGTGTGAGTTATGCAGTTGTGGATACTAAAGAAAAACCACAGCTCTTCATGATTTCGCTAATGATCTGTTCTCAAATAATGTTGGAGAAATAAGTGAAAAACAGTTTATGGGAATACACTTTCTGAGAAATTTTTGTTTCATAAACTTTTTAGCATTATTTATTTTAGCTGGTATGGCAGGAAACAAAATATGTTGGCTGTGGAATTAAAGAGTGTTACGACAAAACGTTGGTCGTGTGCCAGTACAAGAAAGCGTGAGTTGACCATACCTCGTTCTTCCATCGACCAGCCTTTCTATCCGAAAACATCGAATTTTACGAATTTCAGAGGAAATCGGTTCAACAACAAGATTTACGACGTTGGCCCACCATGTTCGAAATGTCCATCGCCACAGAGATGCAATAAAGCAGAAGGGCTCTGTTTCGTTTAGGGCCGCAACTTCATGAATTACACCTGTAATCAATAAATATCACATATTATGCACCGATTTTTAGAAACATTTTACAATGAGGGGCCTTAGAATCTGAGGAAAAGTAGAAGTAGATAGCTGATTCAACGATATAAGCACAACGGAATAGCTAATCACGAATAGGCTACGAGATCGAAACCTATTTCATTTGTTTAGCCTGTATTTATAGAAATCTCAAAAACAACTTCGAGTTCTTGAACATTTCAAAAAAGTGGGCAAATATGATATGAATGAAGTCTTAGAATGAGTGAGCAGATTATACCAAGTAGGGTTTTGAAAAGTTTTTGAGATGGTGGACAATCAAATTGTACATCACAACGAAAAGTGCTTAAGTATACGAGACCGTCGACAGTGAAAATCTAGAAATCTGGATGCAGAAACACATCAGAATCTCGGCTAAACAAGCTCTATCGACTTCATGTTTTCTGTATCACCTGTCCGTGTGTCCCAATGTGACATTCTTCAGACGTTCTTGGTCCATCGGCCGCGGACGTTCTTCACGTGAGGGATCTCGAGCCGGTTAGTCGCAAGGCTACGTGGCACGTTCCCAGGTGGCGGATAGGGGATTAATAGTTAACCAAAAGCGACCGTATGCTTCCCTGAGACACAGATGGATCCAGGGGATGGAATCCCTGTTTCTGCTGCGCCGATTTGTCGCTAGATACGTTCTGTATTTACGACGCGCATGCATGCACGCGTGTGTCGGTGCATTCAAGTTTAAGCGGATTGTATTCGACGAGTCAATTCGCCTAAAAGCCTGCAACCAAGTGACAAGTAAATATATGGGAGGTGGTTAGAAGTTGCCTCCAACGAATAAGCTCTGCGTCCACTCTGGGAGAGACTGGAAAGCTAACCGTGAGTAAACCCTGCCACCACGTTCAGAGCCCAGCAAGTTATACGTGGGTATCAAAATTCTAAACGCAGTGAAAAAACGAGCCTCATTCCCCTGACCTGAAAGAGCCACCAATTAGGCAGCGTTAGGTAGGAAGAGTACGGAGAGGCCCGTGTAAGCTCAACATAACAAACGCATGTTGATTATTTTGCTACTGAGGTTAAATGACGGTCGGTTTCAAAATTATCGTTTTACTCGTAGATTTATTAAGTCGGTCTTCTTACCCTCCGAGACAAGAATATTGTTACATTTGCAGCAGAAAGAATGAGCTGGCATGGTTCAGTTTACCCAATGCAAGGAATTGAACCAACGACTACGCGGGTGTTGTAGTATATCTGTACAGGCGCTGTAAACATCTTGAAATAATTATTAAAAAAAGAAAAATAAACTTCTGAATAATTCAAAAGCGGTATCCATGGAATAATGCTGCAGCCATGACAGCAGGATTCCTAGATAAACCCAGCTGACCTGTGAGCAGTGATATTCATGAACCAGGTGAAATTCNCAGAGCCCAGCAAGTTATACGTGGGTATCAAAATTCTAAACGCAGTGAAAAAACGAGCCTCATTCCCCTGACCTGAAAGAGCCACCAATTAGGCAGCGTTAGGTAGGAAGAGTACGGAGAGGCCCGTGTAAGCTCAACATAACAAACGCATGTTGATTATTTTGCTACTGAGGTTAAATGACGGTCGGTTTCAAAATTATCGTTTTACTCGTAGATTTATTAAGTCGGTCTTCTTACCCTCCGAGACAAGAATATTGTTACATTTGCAGCAGAAAGAATGAGCTGGCATGGTTCAGTTTACCCAATGCAAGGAATTGAACCAACGACTACGCGGGTGTTGTAGTATATCTGTACAGGCGCTGTAAACATCTTGAAATAATTATTAAAAAAAGAAAAATAAACTTCTGAAAAATTCAAAAGCGGTATCCATGGAATAATGTTGCAGCTATGACAGCAGGATTCCTAGATAAACCCAGCTGACCTGTGAGCAGTGATATTCATGAACCAGGTGAAATTCTCAAATTGTCTCAATGATTGAAATCTCAAACTGAGCCTCACGTTCAACTCTGAATTCATTAAGAGTTAGTTTGAGTAATTAACCATCTAATTTTCGAAAAGTGTTGTGTTTTTGGTATCTACACAATTGCAATATCTACAAATATCATGAGAAAATTCTCTCTGTTGAATCGAAAGGCGGTATTACAATAGAATTTTTAGCTAGCACGAGCTTGGTATAAAAAATTTATTCGGAAGTGTTTTGAAGTCTTCGCCTAGTTCAGAGCCGGTGGTCGACACTCTCTGATTTCATCCAGGGATGCAGTGAAAATATTAACAAGTATTATTTTAAATCCATTCGCAAACACCATGTCCTTAGCCACACAGTGGATACTTGCGTAACCAATAAAAGCCGCTTAGAAAATAACCATCTTCAACGGGTTTTTGCTAAAAAGATGAAAGGATAAAGCTGTCTGCAGTCTTTGAGGAATGTGCAGTGCATTCGACTTCATTTGGCATCGTGAAAGGTGATTGAATGCATATCTGGCCTACACGACGACTCGCGGTAGCCTACCATCTATCGAATCAGTGCAGCTATCCTTCCAGACATGTCTAGTACAAATTTTCCTACTCTGAAGGGACGAAAATTTTGGTGAGCTTGCTGCGCCGAATCAAACCCAATTGTATTTTAAGGCGTTTCTAACCACTGCACTATATATTCCTCTGGTTGTAAAACATGTTCAATTCGCTGTCATCAACTGTACCAGTTGGCGAAAATCAGTTGAAAACGCTAACTTTATTCTGACGCGCAAGTTGGAGAAGAAGAATGGCTATGAGTGGTGATGGGGTTTCATATGAGGGGCTCAAATGGGAAATATATGGGTGTATGATATATCTAACTGTCGGATGTCTACCTTCTTGTTCTTGTCTCTTGTAGGGCGATCACATTGAATGTGATGCGATCAGCAACCTCAAACGTACGTAAAAGTCGGCATCTAGTGAGACTTGTATTTAAATTGCTGAGCTTACACGATATTGGTAAATACACTTATTCGGTTAACGTCTCGAGGTCCTCGTCTTCACCAGAGCCGATGATCCGAGTCCATGGTCCAGAGTTGTACGTGTTTTCTAGGTGGCGTGTTCGTCGCGCATCGATCCGCGTCTTCCTCAGTATGGCATTTCCCTCGAATTTCGATTTTCGAGATTCCCTCGATTCGAGAGAGAGGCTCCACTAAAGAAGGCCAGGCACGATGCGCGACGAAGATGCCACCTCGAGAACACGAATAGCTGTGGGCTATCGACGTAGATCGTCAGCTCTGATGAAGAAAAACCGTCGAAACGTAAACCGAATAAACAACTATATCAACCTCGTGTAAGCTCAAGATTGTAAACTAATCGATGAGTCTCCACAAGTCTCTCTGTATAGCTTGTCACCTCTAATCCCGTTGATCGCCGAGCGACCTTAGTGGGCGCCGCTAAATCTTCCAACTTCCTTGTCGTGTGCAAGAGTAGCCCAGTGGGTTCTGTTGGCTGTAGGAACTCGTTGAACATCATATCTTCCTTCTAGGCTTTTCGTGAAGAACTCTGACCATCAGATCGGTGGCCTTCCTTCAGTGCGTTTGACATCCCGAGGAATCCAGTTACTAACGGCTGTTATCCATTGATTGTCCTTCATACGAACACGTGTCCCGCCCACCTTATCTTCGATGCAAAACGACATCTTTAAACTTTGGTCGTTGACACAGATTGGAGCTTCGGATCTCTTCCCTTTCTTGCGTGACACGGGGTACTCTTAGCATCGTCCTTTCGATTTCGCGTTCAATAATACTGAGCAATTTTTCATCCTGTCACAGCAGACTTTCCAGTGGGTAGGCAGCTAGGATGCTGCGATCGTTTCCTTCTGCTCAATTCTGGAGCTAAGTCGTTAATTATGTTGATTTCCCGACCTACACAGACATAACTGGAGCATTCGGAGATATTCGTTCTGTTGAGCGTGAATGGGGCTTACGAAACCAATTCGTTCCTCATGAACATCGTTTTTGTGATAAAGTTACTCGACAAGGATTAGAAGGGCATACACATTGTTGGGAAACTCCTACCCAATCTTCTTTCGTGGATGACACCGCAATCTTTACCAGGGGTATTAATGGGGCAAACATGACGCATGGTGAGCTCAGCAAAATGGGAAAAAGGGTTAGATTGTTCATAGAGTCGACTAAGATCCAGTGTACGAAGAGCCCATGGTACGAAGGCGATCACCTAATTAATGGTTAACTGGTTACAGATACCACTTCATTTGTGTACCTTAGACTTTCAAAGAACGTGGAGAATAACGTAGAAGAGGAGTTAGGCAAAAGGAGAAGAGCAGCATGGGCTGCTTTCTGCCTTCTCATAGAGGCCACCGATCAACTAATAGGCCTAGTCTCTGCGCTCACCTTTCGATTCAGCAGTTCTCTCAGTGCTCTCTTTTGCAGAAGAGACGATATTTCGACTACGTCAAGAAATCTACGCACCACCCACAGAGAGCTTGAACGATGCTTTTTAAATTTTAACTGGGAGTCACAACATCTAGCCGCAATGCTTAGCTGTAATCTACGAGACCTATCCCTTCTTTGGAACCCAGAAGAAGATGCATCAGTAACGAAGAACAGATACCCAGTCACATAATAAAAAAAGCAAATGAGTTATAGACAAAGAGAAAACTGGCATGGCCTCCAATAGAATGCAGGCTTAATTTGGGAATGCAATCCTATTATAGTCGAAAGTCTTCGTGGCTAATTTCAATCATCTTAATTCGCATAATGATTTAGGATCACAGAAAAAGACTACCACTATGAATTGCGAGTGGCACGAGAATGAAAGAATAGAAATTATGATGGGGTCCGCTCCATCAGTAATGACGGACCATACAATCACTCAAATACATAGTTAAATGCATCAGAAAGGTGCTTGGAAAGGATCAATCCCTCAAAGACTGGCTTTCCATCCGGCTCTTTCTGTAGTCTTGTAGAGATGAGTTAATGGATAAATAAAACGGCATATGCAAGCACTTTCCGAAACCTACCGATA